TCTCTCTGAAGAGATTTTCCTGACTATTCTATACCAAATCATGCCCTCACCGTCCTCCAGCTCCTATCCTACTTTACCTTTATAGTATTAGTCACAACCTGAAACAACTGTGTTTTAATGTATCTATATAACATTATATATTCGTTCATTTGATTGTTGTTTGACGACTCCATGAGGGCAGGATTCTGTCTTGCCTAATCCTGTATTCCACGAGCATGAAACAGTGCCCGGAAGAGTAGAGGCTCTTTGTAGATATGTTGTGTGACCAAATAGTGGATTTTGTGTTTAAGATGGCCTCATTTCCAATTTTCTGGAAATCTTCACATTCCTTTTCTGTTAGCAGGTTTATGCTTTTTCTATTACAACTCGAGGCAGTGAAGCGGGGGCAGGTTTGGCCATACATCTGAAACTAAATCCACGCTCTGGGCTCCTGTCTGGATGCAGTCCTCTCTTTTGTCATCAATGAGAAGAGCCAGAATGGGTTTAAATGTCTCCTAAAGAAAGAAGCCTCTAACACACACTTGCTTCCTTTGATGCCCTTAACAGCCTGAACACATGTAGGTTCGTTTTTCTTAGTCACTCGCAACATGCCTATCGAGCAGCTGCTTGCAGTGAACAGTTAACCACCCACCCGGCCTCGTAAGCCTGGTGCAACAGGGAGGGAAGGTGGGAGACTGGGGCTTCTGGAGCGTGGGGACTAGAAGAGGATGGTGTGCCAGAGGTTGGGTCATTTTTTTTTTTTTTTCTTTCCCTCGGTCTTTCTTAAGGGTGTGCCATCAATAGTGACAGCTAAGGATGAGCTTAAAACATGCACTCAACATCCCGGCTTTAGGAGAAGCCAGGATGGGTTTTCTCCGAGCTGGCAATACCCTCAAGTGGAAGGTGAGAGAGGTGGCCTAGCGCCTCAGCTCAGCCATGGAAGCTGCTGGAAGGTGAAGTGGGAGGAGGGGTGCTGCCTCAGCGCGTAACAGGAAAATCACCGGAGGATGTGACCAAGATGAAGTCAGCCCCCCAGAGCCCGTTTCTCCTGTGGATTGCAATGACAGACTGGGCAGATGGATGACCCAAGGACTCAGAAAAGTCAAGATGGCAATTGGGAAGGGAGTGCAAGTCTGGAGAAGCCACCTGTGTCGGGGACCCATGGGGTATATTCCTCCTTGTTTTTCCTTTTTTTTTTTGGCTGTGAGCCAATGCAGGCTCTTAGAGTTGCAGCTGTGGTGCAGAGGGAGCTAAAATCCAAGAAAAATCCCATCTTTCTGGCCAGAAGAATGGGAAAACGCAGGCTGGAAAGTGTGTAGGGGGTTTCCCTCCTTTTGAATCACGGAGACAGACCCCTTGGAGAGCTAGAGTGGCCGGTGGTGCTGGCAGCTCAAATGTCCTTCAAAATCCTGTTTTTCTGGGTAGGGGAACAGGCAAAGGGGCCCTTGCAGGCCAAAAAGTGTGAGAGGATGCCTGTTTTAACTTCCCTGTTTCTTCTCTCTCTGCTTTGCCCCATGAGGGGCACATGCCAGCTAGTCACATGACAGCTGGAACTCCTTGAGAAATCCCACCTTCGGGCCAGTAGATTGGGAGACTCCTAGAGAGAAAAGAGCTGGAATGGGGTCCTGTGTGTATGCACTGGCCTGAGGCTAAGACTCGCCCTGAGCTGCACATGGAGGGAGATGGACCCAAAGCAGTGTAGCAAAAGCCTTGAGAACTGGAGTGTTCATGGAACCATGGCCCACAGAAGAGGAGGGAGAACTTGCTGTCTGAACCTCACCAGATCGATTGCCTGATAAAAAGGAACAAACAAAATCCTAATGCTCTCGAGAGGATTTGTAACAGGACCCAGAGTCGACACTGCTTCATTATTTAGGATGTTATTCTGCATTTAACATTTCACAATATTACAGGAAAATGTGACCAGTTCTTGAGATAGCACAGTCAACAAATGCCAACTCTAGGATGATCTAGACAGTGAGATTATCAGACTTTAAAGCAGTTATGATAACTGCTCCATCAGCTAAACTGTCTTGAAATGAATGGAAGGGTAGTTGCTCTTTTAGGAGACAACATGGGAGAAAGTATTTGTGATCTTGGGTTAGGCAAAAGTCTCTTAGATATAACACCAAAAGCATGATCTGAAAAAGAAAAGTCCAACATATCAATTTTTTTTTTCCATGAAACGATAAGCCACGGAGGGTGTGTAGGTGATCTCTGGACTTTCTGCTCAGTTTTGCTGTGAACCTCAAACTACTCTAAGGAATAAATTCTACTAAATAAAAATCATGGACCGGGAGAAATATTTTCAAGTCACAGATCCAACAAAGGACTTGTCTCCAGAAAATATGTAACACTCGAAATCCAGTAAGAAACAATCCATTAAAAAAATGGGGAAAAGATTTAAACAGATAATTCACCTAGAAGATAAATTGATGGCAAATTCACCAACATGCTCAGCAATGTTGGTTCTTAGGGAAATGCAAACTAAGACTGCAAGAAAAATTGCTGTCTGACTAGTAGAATGGTGTACAAAAATGACAGTACCAAATCCCAACAGCTTCTTGTCAAGTTAAACATACCCTTACCATGTGATGTGGCAATTCCACTCTTGGGTATTATTTACTCAAACGAAATGAAAAACTTAACATTTGTCAGTGCTTACTGTGGGTTTTTTTTTCTTTTTTTAAATCCTTGCTAAAAGCAACAGCCCCAGTTCTGTAATAGGTGAACGGTGAACGGTGAATGGATACTTTTATGGGATACTCCTGTGGTACGTCCATACAAGGCACCACAACGTAGCAACAAAAAGGCACGCACCACTGTTGTTCACAACAACAAAGATGGATTTACAATGAATGTACTTTAAGTGAAAGAAGCCTTGGAGAGGTAGCATGATGGAAAATTTGCGGCTGACGGGACTGTTCTGTATCTTGACAATGGTGGTGCTTACATGATTACATTTGTCTAAACTCCTAGAACTTTGTATTTTACCCTGTGTAAATGAAAAAAAAAGGGAATAATTATTGGAGAGCCATCTAATTATAATTTTCATCAGATCCTGAAAGGGCACGTTTTCCAGACCGAGAGGACTATCATTTATTACCGGAAATACTTTGTCAGTGAGGAAGTTAGGTTCTCAGCCCTCCTTGGTGGTGAAAGAGAAGAACTTGTCTGTTAGGCAGTTGTACATCTGTGATTGCTTTTTTTCAAGAAAGATGTGCCCTTGAGCTCACAGAATCTACCGCTGTGGCTCAGTACTCTGTTCTTGTAGAATCTTGCTCTTGCTTTGTGAGTGGCTTTGGGACCATTAGATAGAAGAATAAAATGAGTTTCCCTTCCTCTCTCTCTCTCTCTCTCTCTTTTTTTTTTAACCCCTTAATATACCGAATTGCTGGGCTAAAGCCTGAAGTCTGGTCTTGGGGTTGTGTAGAAGGAAGCAAGGTTTATCTGGCTGGTGACTGACATTTTCTTCAGGACAGACCCTCTGTTTCCCAAGGCCCTCTTCTGTCCCTTTTATTTTCTGGTATTGTCTCTGAGACCTCGCCCCTTCAAAACTATCTTAATGATCTCTCACGCTCCAGACAGTTTCTTTTCTTCTCTCCTTGTCAAAATTTTGGTAATGACAGTGTCTTACTCTCAGGGAAGGGCTCTGAATTTCAAATTGCTTCACTCTAGTCAGTGTTGCCTCCGCAGAAATCCCACTGGGGGTGCTCTTTGGAGGCAGATGTGCTAAGTGTGTCGCAGGAATATATAGCATTTTTATTCTGAAACAGCTAGAGCTTGTGTCCTAATAGGCTTTAGCTTTTTCACGTTTATTCACGTTGAGGGTTTTGATTATGATTTCCAATCCACAGGCCTCCTTGTTGGAAGAAAGCAATACCCAAGTTTAATTTGTGCCTCTTTCATAAAAGAGTACTTAGACATTGTTGTTGGGGATCTTGAGAAGGTAGAATGAAGTGTTGCTTTAAGTTTCTATGAAGAGCGGTAAATGGTTTAACACTTGGACAAAAGATAAGGCATGGGTGATGTTAGTATTGCCAACCCCAAGGGAATTCTCCCAACCTGTGGTTATTTAGGTACACTGCATTGTGGTCCAGCTTTAAGGCCCTTAGCTTGTGTGTTCGATATAATCCTGATCCCGGGATTTGCATTTTGTCCTCTCGAATGGGAGCTTTGAGAAAATCCACCTTCTCTAATGCAAGGTAAAAAGCTTTCTCCCTTGCTTAGGCGTCTTTGCTGCCCTTTCTTTTAATTAAAGTTTTGGCCTCCCCAATGTTGGAAGAGCTTCCTAAAGGTCACACTTGAAAAGAGCTGCAGAAGGGAAATGCAGATTATAGTATTCTGTCCTTTCATAGGGGAAATTGTCTGTCGAATCTATCTGCCTCTGAAAAGTGCATTTTCTTTTTCTTGTTTCTCCATATTGGCTAAAGTAGTGGGGATCAGAAGGAAGGAATTTTTGCTAGCACGTAGCTAAGGATGTTATTCAGTCGATGCCTGAGGAATGAGAGAACACAGTTTAGCCAGGAAAGAAGTGCACGCCAGCCGAGTGCCTTTCAAATGTTAGGCGTGGTGTGGCAGAAGTAGGTTTTAAGTGTCATACGTGCACTCCTCTTCATTGTAAACAGTGCCACCTTATTTATTCTACAAAATATTTGCACATGAAGTCTCTAAATACAATTTTTGCAGGAGCTGTCATTTGACTGCTATTGGTTTCTAGTTGAAGGGAGTCGGTGGCACGAGCGCTGCAAGCGCGTCCGTCCTTTTCTCTTCGTGTTCATGTTGTCATGTGCAGGTGCTCTTGAAGATAAAGCAAAGATTTCAACACCCAGAAAAATTCAGCCAGCCCACAGAAGAGAAATGTTAGGCATTGCATATAACTCTATTCACCAGGGAGGAGCTGAAGAGGAGGATAAGTTCCAGAGAGGCATGTCGGCTGGTAGAAGGCTAGGGAAGGGGGAAGCACAGGACCTGTTTCAGGGATGTCCGGTAAACCACGTGCACAGAGAAAGACTTGACAGATGGTTGGTCTAGCGGGGTCCTTCCTTGTCATGGTCCGTGTCCGTGGGCTGTCCCCTAAGCATGAGGTAGGTGCGTAGAAGGGAGAAAGTTCTGGTAGATCCATTGTTCTCTAGTGTGAGCTGGCAAATCAACAGCTTGTACTCATCGGGCCTTGAGTTTGGCCCCTGACTAAAGACAGGACAACGAAAAAGTTGTGTGGAGAGTGGGTCTTGTATCCCCTGAAATTTGACCTGGTTAGTTAATCTTGCAGCTTTTCCTCACAAGGAGAGAGAAGACCGACATTCAGCCAAGGGACCTGAATAATGCACATGTGGAGCTTTCCTGAAGGCACGCAGATTTTCCAGCTGCATGTCTGTAGCTTCGATCCATCAGGAATGAAGGCGCAGTGAGGTTGGCAGTCCATTTGACTGAATTGTGAGGTGGTGGGAGAAGGGTTTTCTGCCAGATGATGGCATTAATCTTTTAATTAAGCATAGTTTTAGATCACACCTGTTTTGTACAGTTCCTTTTTTTTTCTTTTACATTTTACCAGTTTGTCACCTGTTGACATCATCTTCTGTTTTTGTCTTGCTCTGAAGTACTTTCTGTACTTTTTGGAAAAGCTTAAGTCTTTTCAAATTGTGTATCTTTTCTTTGTTGTTACTGATTATGTGTGGCCCTCTCCTCCCCATGTGGTCGTATTTATTGCTTTTAACATAAGTGACTTCTTACTATCAAGCTGTTTCTTCACACTATGAACCTTGCTGTTTTAAATGACTGAATGGTTTGAAGTTGGAATAAGCTTTTGTGTCAGATTTGCTCTCTTGTGTGGATGCTAAGTGTTTGGAGTGGATATGTGACCTATTTCAACAGTATTTCATCTTTGTATATATAATTATGTGTAAGATCCTAAGCTATCTTCCAGGACTTCCTTGAAATTAAATAAGGTCTTTGAACAAGAATGAGTTTTGAAAGATCAAGATAGTGTCATTGATGTAAGGAAAGTGGCTTCACACATCAAAGGATGATTTTTGAATCCTCAGTCTGGCTTGCTATACTTCTTTTGCCATTTAAAAAGTGTCATTTTTTTTCTGCTGGTGGTCAGGAGTTTTGAATAGAACCTTCATAAAGACTTTGGAAGTGAAGAGCCTTAACACGTTAGAGAGAATGACTTGTTTTACTAAGATTTTGCTCCGTCAAGAGACATGTTGGCAAAAGCACTGGGTTGCATTCTAGGCAGGTTGTCATTCTGCTTCTGCTGTGAAGTGAGACCTTGGGCAAGTCCTTTTCTGAACCTCATCTCCTCTCTAAAGCCTTGGGGCTTAAACCAAATGATTGTTTTAACCAAATTTTCATTTTGCCTCTGCAGGTTGGTATCGTAGAGCAGGCTTGCAAAGGTTCAGTAAGAAGTTATATTCTAACGGTAGGAGAGCATATTGTCTACTGGCAAAGCCTATTTTGAGGCTTGGAGAAGGCTAGATGATTTCATTAAAAAAAAAAAAAATCAAGACTCTATTGACCCTAGGGACACTGGCTGGTTCAGTCTGAAGAACAGTCCTTTTAGAATTTCTGAATAAGGCTTACTGAAATCACTTATCTTGATGACATCTAATTAAAATTGGTAACTACATGGCAACAGGAACATTGCAGGAAAAAATCTTAAGCGAAAAATGTCCCAAAATAGCTGGTGAGAAGGGACTTTTTTTTGGGAGGGGGGGGATTTATTTATTTATTTGAGAGAGAGAGAGCAAGCAAGTTGTTGAGTGGGGGGAGGGGCAGAAAGCGGGCATCTTCCAAGCAAACTCCATGCTGAGCGTGGAGGCATCTGAGGAGCTGGGAATGGACAGAAGAGTGGTTCTGCCCAGGTTCGTGATTCTGCTAACCAATGGGAATGACTTTCTCACGCCTCTTGTTTTTATCAAACTCTCTGAAACAAAATCACATCGATGAGGATGAGATAGGAACCCGGAGAAGGAAAAGGATGGAGCGAGGAGCCCTGTGGGTTGTTACTGAAAAATGATACCAGACTCTGTTCCGCTAGCTTTGGATTCTACCCGCGGTGATTTCCATTCAGAGTGGAGCTGGGTCCTGCGAGAAGCTTTGCCAGCTGTTGCCGAGAGCTCATGGGGCCCAGACTGACTTGGCCCCTTCAGGCTTTTCTCTGAACTCCTTGTATCCCATAGCTATCAGTGTGCCTAAGACCCAACATTCCCGGCTCCTGTTCTCAGTGGGCCTGCACACTTCCTCATGAGTGCCTGTTGTTTGTTTGGGGGTGCTCAGGTCTGTCAGACGTACCCCTGACTCCCCATGACTCCCCCTGCTTCCTCTCTCAGGCACAGGTACCATGCAGGACTTGTGGCTGTTGACTTGCTCCTACCTGCCCATGCTTGGGGCTTTGCGGAGAGAGTTTACTACCAGGTTCGAATGGAAGTGTGCCATGGAGTTTTGATCATGCTATCCTACTGGCTCTGTGTGGTTTCTGTGGGGCATTTGGCTAAAAAACCATGCTGCTACTGTTACATCTTCCCATTGACCTCTCTGGGGTTTGTTCTGAACAGCTGTTATCCCGTGGTTACAAGCATCTTCTTTGCTAAATCTCTTGGATCCTGGGAACTGCTTTCCAGCGGGAGATAGCAGGTGCTGATTTCATTGGATTTCTCTCAGGCCACATGCCCACAGCTAAATTCAGCTGGAGCTGAATTGTATGGTTCCCTCAACCTGAAATGCCTTCCTCCTCCTTCTCTTTGGCTCACAAGGCTAGTCCTGAAGCTCTCTTCCATCTCTGTTTCCTCCATTGCTGGTGCTATTTCGGTGCTCCTATAACATCTTAGGAATGCACATGCACACATATGGTGCTTCTTTAAGTATATGTTTGCTTCTTTGATTTCTTCATAGGACTCTGGGTTCTTAAGGCGCAAGACCTTGTCTGATTTGTTTTTCTACTCTCAGTGCCTGAACTGGTGACTGTCACCCCTTAACTACTTAAATAGTTGTTGAGGGATGCCTGGGTGGCTCAGCTGGTTAAACGTCTGCCTTCAGTTCAGGTCATGATCTCAGGGTCCTGGGATGGAGTCCCAAGTTAGGCTCCCTGCTCAGCGGGGAGTCTGCTTTTCCTTCTGCCTGCCACTCCCCCTGTTTACACTCTCCCTCTTTCTTTCTCTCTCTGTCAAATACATAAATGAAAAAAATCTTTAAAAAAAATTAGTTGTTGGAGGAATGTTGGCAGTAGTGTTGGAATGTTTGCAAGGAACGAAAGCAGCCCTCTTCAGATATACTGTAGGACAGACAGATGGAAGATAAGTGCCATTTGAAGTTATATTTAAAGAAAGAAATGTGTCCGGAGAAGGAACTAAAAATACAGGTGCTTTTTAATCTTAATTTTATTTTCAGAATTTGTGGTGCAGAGGCAATGGCAATGGCCTCGTCACTCCTAGTGAGTTCATTTTGATTATAACAACTCAAAGAGGTTGTGGGGCATTTAAGAAATGTAGAACAGAGAGTAATGTTTAAGGAATTGGAAGTCTGTGCTTAGGAAGGATGCGATATGGTTAATTTGGGTAGAAGACCTCATCCCGGGTTCAGGCATAGGGTCAACTGGCCCCCTGTATTTCCACATGACCTCACCTGAGGGCAGGAGGGTTCCTTCTAGTTCAGTAATTGTTTCCCTGTTAATTAACTTCTCTCCTGCTGTTGACTTGAGAGTTTGGGAGTGTCTTAAAGTTGGCTAAATTAAAACAAAACCCAACTATTTCATGGTCTGTGAGTTTTCTGGAAAGTGGAAGGTGATGATATTAAAACCTCAGTAACCAAGGAAGCCAGTTCTGTGCTGGTGTATAAAAGGAGTGGAAATTTAACTGTGTTCATGAAGGGAAATCTGGCCACTAAGGTCATGCATGGCAACCCTGGGGAAGAGGAAGTAAAGGCACGAGCACATGACCCATCACCTGCCCCCTTAGGAGAAAGTGACCTGTCGGCAGCTGTGGTCAAGGTGAGTGAGGGGTGTACACTGAGCTCGCCCAGGAATATGCTCAGTGTTTATGTGCAGCCCTCTTATCAAGGTTGATATTTTTGAATATATAAAATCTTTTAATTAAATGATGAGCTAAGAAAAGTTTTTGCTTGCAGTCCTTATTGTGTGTGTCTCTGTTGTGTGTGTCCGTGGATTCACAAAGCAAAATGCTGACTTTTTTCTACATCAGAACCACACCAAGAAGCAGATGGTCTTTATAGTTCCACTTAGTGCCTTCTTTACTCGAAAAGTTGTTGACGTTAACCTAATTCATAGAATTTTCCCTGGAGGTTGGAACTTGCAAATTTGATTAATTTGGTAGTTTTTAAAAAAATATTTTATTTATTTGACAGAGAGAGGGAGGTAGGGAGAGAGAGCAAGTGCACAGGCAGAGGGAGCAGCAGGAGAGGGAGAAGCAGGCTCCCTGCTGAGCAGGGAGCCCAGTGCCGGGCTTGATCCGATCCCAGGACCCTGAGATCATGACCTGAGCTGAAAGCAGAGGCTTAACTGACTGAGCCACCCAGGCGGCCCTAATTTAGTAGTTTTTAAAAACTTTTTTTAATCTAGGGGTGCCTGGGTGGCTCTTGGACTCTTGGTTTCAGCTTAGGTCATGATCTCAGGGTTGTCTGATCAACCCTGTGTTGGGCTCAGTGGGGAGTCTGCTGGGATTTTCTCTGTCTCCTTCTGCCCCTCCACGCCTCATATAAATAAATAAATCTTAAACACACACACACACACACACACACGCACACAAACCTTTTTTAGCCTGAATTCGTACATGAAGTTCACGTTGTAAAGCAGATAAAATGAGACTGATTCTATTGCCACTTACCCTCTTTTGCACAAGGACCTCCTAAAAGGAGTTCCACAAAGTGTAGTGTGAAATCATCATTTAGTCCTATGAAAATTACTGCAGTCTGATTTCCAAACTGCCCTTAATTATGGAAGCATAAACTCTTAAGATGTAATAATTCTTAAGGTCTTTACAATAAGATATCTCATACGCTAGTTCCTGTATAGACTGCCAGCCAATGGTAATTACCTTTCAGTGCCTTCTCTTTTTAGCCAACTCTCAGAAACAAAATAACACAGATGAGAAAGATAAAAGGACTTGGAGAAAGAAAGATAAGGACTGGAGGGGCTCCTGGCTGGTTCAATTGGTAGAGCATGTGACTCTTGATCTTGGGTCCTGAGTTCAAGCCTCACGTTTGATGTAGAGTATTACTTAAATAAACTTAAAAAAAAAAAAAAAAAGAAAGATGAGGACTGGGGATGAGTGAAGAGGTCTGGCAGAAGTGTCACTGAGCAGCTACTTTGAGGACTGGGGTACCGTTTTCTCTGCCCCTTCTTCTTTCCCGCATACCGATCACAAGGAGGGACAAGAAAAGAAGATGTAGATAATTCTCTTCTAGAGAAACATCTGAATTTGAGGATAATTTGGACCACTTTCTTCCCATTCCTGCTGGCTAGAGTATTTTGCAGCTCAAATACTGTGTACATTGTTCTGGGCTCAGTAGATAATGTAGCTATATATGCCACGTATTGCATTTCAAATGTGCTCATGTTCTAATGTATATTTTACTTAATACACAATGGTAAATGGAAACCTCCTTATTAGTTTATCTGTATATTAGGTGTATAGTGTATATGTAAATATTTTCATTCAGTTTTTTTAAATTTATTTGACAGAGCTCACAAGCAGGCAGAGAGGCAGGCAGAGAGAGAGAGGAGAGAGCAGGCTCCCCACTGAGCAGAGAGCCTGATGTGGGGCTCGATTCCAGGACCCTGGGATCATGACCTGAGCTGAAGGGAGAGGCTTTAACCCACTGAGCCACCCAGGTGCCCCTTCATTCAATTTTTAAATAGAAATTTAGCTTCTTGAAATGCTGCATAAAAATTATTTTTGCTGGCATATTTTTTTTTTAATTATAATGTATTACTGGTTTCAGAGGTGTAGGTCTGTGATTCATCAGTCTTATATAAGCCCCAGTGCTCATTACATCATGTGCCCTCCTTAGTGTCCATCACTCAGTTGCCCCATCCCTCCACTGTCTCCTGTTGAATAACCCTCAGTTTGTTTCCTATGATTGAGTCTCTTACGGTTTGTTTCCCTCTCTGGTTTCATCTTGTTTTATTTTTTCCTCTTTTTCTCTGTGATCCTCTGCCTTGTTTCTTAAATTCCACATATCAGCGAGATCATACAATAATTGTCTTTCTCTGACTGACTTATTTCACTTAGCGTAATACCCTCTAGTTCTATCCATGTCATTGCAAATGCCAAGATTTCATTTTTTGGATGGCTGTATAATATTCAATTATATATATATACCACATCTTTATCCATTCACTTGTCACCTGTTGATGGACATCTGGACTCTTTCCATAGTTTGGCTATTGTTGGCCTTGCTGCTAGAAACATTGGGGTGCAGGGCTAGCACACTTTTCTAATACCAAAAGCTGTCATTGAACTCTTTAATTATGATGGTTTATAATTTTTTCTATAATTAAAAAATTTTTTAAAGTAGTGCAGTGTCAGCTGCTACCGATAAAAAACCTGATTAGGGTTACAAATATAAAAGTTGGCAATTAGACTATTAAGTAATGATCTATCTTAAAGCTTGTTAACAAAAATAAATTAAAAAATTAAAAAAATATTAAGGTTAAGGTGAATTAATATAATTTTCCAATTTCACACGTTGTAACACTTTGGGTTGGATAATATTTGACATTATTACCTAATTACTGAAATTAGTTCCCAGTGACTTTCTGTTGGAAGGTTTCCTTAAATGTGTCCTCTTGCCTATCTTTCTATCCCACCTGTCCCCATTTATGGTGCAACTACATTTTCTGAGGAACACAGGAGGTTGTTGAAAAATGTGAGATTGACTGTTTTCCGACCTCCTTATTAGTTAGGTTCAAAGCAGGAAAACCCATGTCCACGCCCCTCTACTCCAGCAGAAAGTAAACAAGGACCTTGAAAAGTTGGGTTTTTGAGTATTAAAGGCTTTACATAGGCTCTTATTTAGTTGTTAGGTGCTACTAGTAACTTCCCAAGTTTTAGTGGCTTATCTGAGGGCTCTTCAGGATAAAGATAATCTTTAAATACTCTTTTGGCAGATGGTTGCTCTTTTGAAAGAAAAGGTAAGAGGAGACTTAAAAAACAGTGTTGCCCAAACATACTGTTCATAGACTGGCCAGTTAAATTAAGCAGTTTGTAATTTCATGTAAATTACTATTGTAGATTAAATAGCAGTATGGCTGTGGTGAGCAAATCTTTTTATTGGTTCTGTGGTGCCTATGGTAGCTGTTGTCTAGTTGGTCTCCATCACTGAAGGTGGGTGCTGACACACCATCTACTACTGTTTGAACAATCTCCCCCTTCAGTTCTGTCAGTGTTTGCTGCATATATTGTGGGGCTTGATTATTGGGAGCGTATGTTCTAGTCGTCACATCTCCATGCTAAACCGACCCATTTATCATTGTGTAATGTCCTCCTTTGTTTCATAATTTTTGCTTTGAAGGTCATTTTGTCTGATACTTGCCTAGGCACTCTGGCTCTTTTTTATGAACTATTTGCATACAGTGTCTTTTGGTTTTCAGGACTTTATTATAATATTTGTCTTTGAATGTGTCTCCTGTAGACTGTATATAGTTGGATCTAAGAACCTCCATTTCGCTAGTCCCTGCCTTTTGACTGGATTGTTGAATCTATTCACATATAATGTCGCCATTGACACGGTCAGATATTTATGTCTGGGCCTTATTTTTTGTTTCCTGTATGTCTCATGTAGATTTTGTTCCTCTGTTCCTCCTTTGCAGTTTCTTTTGCATACATATTTTTTTTTTAAAGATTTTATTTATTTATTTGACAGAAGGAGATCACAAGCAGGCAGAGAGGCAGGCAGAGAGAGAGGGGGAAACAGGCTCCCTGCTGAGCAGAGAGCCCGATGCGGGGCTTGATCCCAGGACCCTGAGATCATGACCTGAGCCGAAGGCAGCGGCTTAACCCACTGAGCCACCCAGGCGCCCTGCATACATATTTTTAATGTAACATTTAAATTCCTTTAATTGTTTTGGTTTGGTTTTTTTAGTCATTTCCTTAGTGCTTGCTCTGGGGTCCTACTATATACATTTTAACTTACCAGAATTTGCTTCAGATCTGTGCTAGCTTAGTGAGGTACAGGGACATTACTCATAGCTCTATTCCCCATGCCCCTCTTTGTGGTATTATCGTTACATAGATTACATCTAGAGGTTACAAAAGCCAATAATACAGGGTTACCATTATTACCTTATATAATCTTATCTTTCAAAGAATGAGAGAGGAAATAAGAATAAGCATATGTTTATTGCTTTTGTTATACTAGCCTTATTTCCTATTCCTAGTTTTGTTTGTGTGTTTGTGTGTTTGGGTTCCTATACTGAGTCCTTCCCTTAGTGCAGGGCAGTTCAGTGCTCACCCACCTCCTTTGTGCTGTTATTGGCAAATGTTTTGTTGGGCCCATAATATATGGAAATAGAATTATGCACATATTGTTTTAAATTGCTTTTTAAAATCCATTATGGGAGGAGGGGCCATATCAGATATGATTTGCTAATATGATTTTGCTAATATTTTCTCCTAGAAGTTGCCTTTTCATTTCTAAAAATTAAGTTTTTAATTTTAATTCCAGTATGGTTAACATACTGTTATATTAGTTTCAGGTGTGCAGTACAGTGATTCAACAGTTCTGTACATGACTCAGGACATGGAGTCTCACTGGTTTATTATTTTTGTTTCGTTGCCTTTGCTTTGCTGTCAAATCAAAAAAATTGCCAAGGCTGAGGTCAAGGAGCTTACCCCTACGTTTTTCCACTAGAATTTTTATGGTTTCAGGTCTTACTCAACTACTTAATCCATTTTGAGTTAACTTTTGTGTATGGTGTGAGATAGTGGTCCAGTTTCATTCTTTTCCAAGTGGCTGTCCAGTTTCCTAGTGCCACTTACTGAAAAGACTGTCCTCTCCCCATGGTGTACCCTTTGTCCTAAATGAACCTAAATGTGTGGATTTATTTCAGGGCTGTCTGTTCTATTCCATTGATGTGTCTATTTTTAGGCCATTGCCATACAGTTTTGATTACTATAGCTTTGTAATATAGTTTGCTATTGGGAAGCATGATACCTCTAGCTTTGTTGTTCTTTCTTAAGCTTGCTTTGGCTTTGCAGGGTCTTTTGTGGCTCCATACACATTTTTAGGTTGGTTTTTTTTCTGTGGAAAATGCCATTGGAATTTTGGTAGGGATTGCATTGAATCTGTAGATTGCTTTGAGGTTATAGGTTTTTAAAAAATATTTATTTATGAGAGAGTACACACATGAGCGTTTGCATGAGTGGGGAGAGGGGGAGGCACAGAGGGAGATGGAGAAGCAGGCTTGGTGTGGGGCTCAGCCTCAGGATCATGACCTGTACCAAGGCAGACACTTAACCAACTGAGCCCCTAGTTGTAGATATTTTAACAATATATATATTTTTGGAGAGAGATAGAGTGAGAGGGAGAGAAAACACGAATGGGAGGGAGAGGGCATCTTAAGCAGGTTCCAGCTCAGAACAGAACCTGATGCAGGGATCGATCTCATGACCCTAAGGTCATGACCTGAGCTGAAATCAAGAGTCGGTTGCTTAATTGACTGAGCCACGCAGGCGCCCTTTAACAATATTCTTTTAATCTGTGAGTGCAGCTGTTTTTACGTTTGTATCTTCTTTAACTTTTTCCATCAGTATATTATATTTTTCAGTATGCAAAATTAGCATATTAATATTTTAATGATGTTAACATAATAGTGATGCCTTTGTGGTTTTCACATAGCTTTCTTTAGTATTTTCCTTATTTGTTCTATTCTTTCTATTTTGGAATTTTGCGTATTTTTTCCCAGATCTTTGCAAAATGAACCACATGTAAAATCTCTAGGAGTTTTTAAGATACCCCTTTCTCTAATTTACATCAAATGTGTTCTACACTCGATTACTTTTTAATACCCTCTTGTGAGAGAGGCTAATGGCAGCTCTTCTCGTCTCTGCAGTTGGGTGGGGGTAATGAGATCATCTTTCAGTGATTCTTCTAGGTTGGGGATTAGTGGGTCATTCAGTGGTGTGAGGCCCAGCCCATCATGAACACTTAGTAAATATTACATGATGGTGAGTGCAGGGCCATTCATTCTTCCCGGGTCTCCTGCCTCCTATGTTGGTGCTTGTTTCACTGTTAGTAGCTCCTCAGGTGTTTCAGACCATCATCCTTTTCCACATCAAGCTAATCACTCTGCCCAGGCCACATTTTTACCATGTGTTACAACAATGTTAAGAAATTTTGTACTAAGTAGAGAAGTCTCTGAACTATGTTTACCCAGTGGGCCAACAAAGGAATATTGGATTTTCTCAGATTGAACACTGCTAGGATTTTCAGCTCTACTTCTGGCCCCCAGTTCCACATCAGTTAGGAAGCTATTTTCTTCAGAATGTTGCTGGTATTTATTATTTAAACAATAGATCATGTACGAAGTCACAAAGGTAAAAAAATTTATCTTTTATAATTTTTTACCTTCTCAACCAATATTTTTTAGCCAAAAAATATTTAACTTGACTCCATTGGGCATTCAGATTTTTAGATATATATTTTTTTAATCCACTATTTCCTATGAGTAAGTACCACCAGGAAGCAGCCAGACAGAAGATGGATCCTTCTGCACTCTACCTGTACTGATCTCTTCAGTAAATCAATGTTGTAAAAATGGAGACTGTGCTAGATTCAAAGGGACTTAGGGACAAACAGTGAACTACAGGGCATGGCCTTGAATAGAATACTGGCTTGGATAAAACCAGCTCTAAAGGAAATTTTTGGGGCCAGGCAAATTTGGAAATAGTCCAGATAGTTATATGAAATGCCATTAACTGAGATGGAGAGATGCAGAATTTTGATGAAAAAAATTCTTGTTCCAAAAAAAGTCCATGTAAATATATAGATAGTGCATTTACTAGCAGATTTCTTTCTAAGACGTTAATAGTGGTGCTCCTACTCTCAAGTGATGAGAATGTGGGGTTTTTATTTATTTCTTTACTGTCTTGTCCTCTCAATTTCTCAAATGCACATGTCCCATTTTTGTGGTAATAGAAAATTTTTTTTTTTTGTAAAGTCTAGACTAACATGTCCTTTTATAGATGGGTTGTTGTAGTATATTTCACAAGTTTTTCTCTTTTTATTTTTTATTTTTATTTATTTATTTATTTTTAAAAGATTTTGTTTATTTATTTGGCACAGAGAGAGAGATCACAAGTAGGCAGAGAGGCAGGTAGAGAGAGAGAGGTGGAAGCAGGCTCCCTGCTGAGCAGAGAGCCTGATGATGCGGGGCTCGATCCCAGGACCCTGAGATCATGACCTGAGCCGAAGGCAGAGGCTTAACCCACTGAGCCACCTAAGCGCCCCAAGTTTTTCTCTTGATAAAGATTTTATAATCTTTAGGATACTTCTTTGAACCATTTCTTTAGATTCTACATGCATCTTCCTTTTTGAGATTTAATTTTTTATTATGGAAACTTTCAAATACATAGAAAAGTAGATAGAATAATATGATTATCAATTATGCTTGGTTTATTTCCTCTCCACCCACTATTTTGAAGGAAATCCCATATGTCCTATCTTTTCATTCATAAGTGGTTCAATATTTATTCCAAAAAAATAAGAACATTTAAAAAAATCAGGATATAGTATCACACCAAACAATAAATATGTGAAATAATAGTATTTCTTCAATATAATCAAATATCCAGTCATTCACCTTTCTCTGATTGTCTCATAAATGATTTTTATCTGTAGTTATATTGTCTGAATCCGATATCAGCCAAGTTCCTGACATTACAAATGGTTATGTGACCAGTAAGGTCTTTCAATCTATAGGTTTATCTCTCCTCCCCCAGCAGTTTTTCTCTTGCAAATGATTTATTGAAGAAACTAGACCCTTTATCTTTTATAATTTTTCACCTTCTGCATTTTTCTGCATGCTCTCTTTTAATACCCAAGACTGGAAGCTGTGCTCTTGAATGCATCTGAGCAGAGTTCCATTTAAAACTTATAAAACTTACCATGTTTGTAAAATCTGTAAATTGAAATGGTTGATTTCTTTTTTTAAACTTTCAAAATACTTACTTTTAAAAACTAATCCTTAAAATTGAAAAAAAATTAGCTGTATAACAAATTTTTGTGCAACATCTAGAAATGATTTATTTCTAGTGACTTTATTTTTTTGAATGTATCCAATCAATATTTAGCCTATTATCTTCCAGAAATGAAAGGTGAGGATTTAAGTTCCGTAACTGTTCTCTCTTCTTTCCCACCTCTTCCTCCTTATAATATTTTATGTATTTTTATTTGCTTATTTATCTTTAATTACTTTAAATAATATACTTATGCCTCAGTTTCTTATGTAGCAGTTCAGTTTTCTCAAGCCACATTCTTGGGCATAAAAAGGATTAACTTCAGGGGTGCCTGGGTGGCTCAGTGGGTTAAAGCCTCTGCCTTCAGCTCAGATCAGGATCTCAGGGTCCTGGGATGGAGCCCCGCATCAGGCTCTCTGCTCAGCAGGGAGCCTGCTTCCCTTCCTCTCTCTCTGCCTGCCTCTCTGTCTACTTGTGATTTCTGTCTGTCAAATAAATAAATAAAATCTTTAAAAAAAAGGATTAACTTCTTTTCCATAACTAAAAGATCCCATTGCACCAGCTGGCAAAAACCTTAATCATTACCAATTCCAAGCAACCTTGGTCGTTTTACATGTAAACTTATGCAGGTCAGATTTCATTCCTGCCTTCCCTTCATTTCTGGGAGTGCAGGTTGTTTCTGAGGTATTTATGTGGTGCCGATTTCTGGGAGTAGGTAGGCTTTGAAATGGTTGATTTTTTTTTTCTTTTTTTCAAGATTTTATTAGAGAGTGAGAGAGAGAGCATGAATGGTGGGGAGGGACAGAGGGAGAGGGAGAAGCAAACTCCCCGCTGAGCAGGGAGTTGGATGTGAGGCTCCATCCCAGGGCCCTGAGATCATGACCTGAGCTGAAGACAGATGTTCAACTGACTGGGCCACCCAAGTGCCCCTGAAAATGGTTGATTCCTATCCTAAAGTCCTCTAAATTTAAGACTCATATAGCCTTGATTGTTTCAATGAGCTGAAACAGCTATTGAAAAAGCGTACACTGGGGTAGATGTTAGCCCTATCAGTTACACAGATTTTTTGGCAGGAACTTGCCAAATTTCCTCTACAAAGCTAAAGGAAAAGCTTGCCCTGAAAGTACATTCTGATATAATGGGGTCCTTTTGAAATACTTAGTATCCTCAGAGAGCTTGGTCTACCAATGTGCTCTTCATCGTGATACCGGTGTACTATTTTTTTTGTTTGGTTTTACTTTACTGCTAAGGCTGCTGAGGTCGAAATTTCCACTGCTTGCGTATTGATTTGTCTCTAATGATTGCAGGTTGAAGATGACAGTGATGCAGAGACCTATGGAGAAGAGAATGAGGAACAGGGAAATTATTCTAAAAGAAAGATCGTCTCTAACTGGGATCGATATCAAGATATTGAAAAAGAGGTCAATAATGAAAGCGGAGAATCACAGAGGGGAACGGACTTCAGTGTTCTCCTCAGCTCAGCAGGTATGAATCCCATTCACATGCATATGCTTTAGTGCTCCGAGAGTCCCGCAGACCTTTTATTTATGTTCCTTTTTTTTTTTTTTTTAAAGATTTTATTTATTTGACAGAGATCACAAGTAGGCAG